GTCCGGTACCGGGGCAACACTGAGGGTTGCAATCCGTTGCCGGACACGGAAAAAAGAAAAAAAAAAAAAAAGAAAAATGTGACCTGAAAACACTTAGGTATATTTAAGATGGCCCTACCTTGTTATTGCTGTCAGGAGAACAAAGGTCATGGCTTCTCCTATAGCCTGTCACATCATGGAACTCTGACTTTGCTGCTTTGGTGTCTTTCCTGATACAGCCCATGAACAAGTGGTATAAACTTTTACACGCCTGGCCGAGACAACCATCCACTGAAGAAATTCTACAAGAGCGTTCCGGGTTTGAAAGACTCAGGGAAAAGTGCATTAACTTAGGAGAAAGAGGAAGCAGGAGAGAATAGGCCTTGTCTTTTTTTTAATCTAAAAATTAATTTTATGTAAGAGTAACTTTCAGACTTTTTAAAAACAAAGGTTTTTTTTATCATTTTAGTTTTGTTTTGTTTTGTTTTGGCAGCTGACTGGTAAGGGTTTTGTTTTTTGGGTTTTTGAAATCATTTTTTAGTCATTGATTCCATTTGAAAAGTTGGTTTTTTTACAAGTTAAGCTGCATTACTAAGTAATGGTTTCTTCCTTTTTGATAATTATATTCCTGTATAAGGATCATTAAATAGCCATTGTTACCATTTTGAATTATAATCAAAAGCAACAAAACTGCCTCGTAATCATATCATGTATAATTATTCAGTTCTGTTCAATATTGAAAGTAGTCCACAGGTTCTCATTACTCATTTCGTGGAACTCAAGGTAACACCTGTTTTTGAAAAATCTGTATGAGAAAATAAATCCTCCAGTGCCCATATTGTGACCTAATTCTTCTTGCTCATTTGTTTTATATGTAAGATGGGGATAATAACTTATGCAAAAGGCAGGGATCTGGAAAAGAAGATATTATGAAATCTTTTAAAATTATTTTATTCAGTTATTTATTCAACAAATATTTGAATATTACAGACTGACCTGCATAACTGTAAGACAGATATGGAATCTGCCTCAGTAGGTTTTACAGTTTGTGTCTTACCTATAATTCTGGTGTTATGTCATTCAGTTAGTTCATGGCTTTATTGTTGTATTTCATTCACATGGTATTGAATTTTATCAGCTTAGCTGTTTTGCAGCCAGACTTCTAGCTTCAGGGAAGCAAACATTACCTTCTTTCCTCATTCATTTTCAAATAGAAGGATCTTAAGCACAAAGACTTTTAAAAGATCAAAAAGGAATTAAGTTATCAGGCAGATATAAGACCCCTTAGAAATAATCTCATTTCTAAGAAACCCCTGGGAACCACTCATATTGCCACCTCAAATTCTTGGCCCTTTTCTGCCTTCAAAATGCCAATTATTGCTTCCTAAAATACTGAGTTGAATGCAAGATTAATGTATTTTTTTTAAAAAACTGATGAGACTAACCTTAATTGTCTAAAAATAAAAGTACACATGGTAATAAATAATTTGTGACATAACTTTAAGACAAACATTATAAGGCATATGAACCATGATCAATTTCTTTTGTTAAATTAATAGAATATGTAAAGATAGGGAAAAAACATGTATTACACAGTTTTCTGAAGTTTATCAGTGTTATATTACTACATAGTTTTATATTCACACAGACATTTAGATTTGCAAATTAAATAGTAACCTTTATTTCATGGTCTCATAATATAATAGCATCTAACATTAGAATCTAGAGTTCTTGGTCTTTGGCTGTCACTTAATAGTTTATCAATGAATAATAATTATCCCAAAATAGTAACACTTAAGCTTACAAACATGCTCATAGATGTTTCTAAAAAGTATAGTCATATTTACAACTAATGTTTTGACTGATAATGTAAAAATGAAATCTTGACAGTTTATTAACACCAAATAATAAAATTTGTCCCCAGTGGATTTATAGTCCAAATTAAGTAGCCCAAACTACAGAAAAGGCACATCTAAAAGGACCTATTTTTTAAATATTACCAAAAATTTCACAGACTGTAATTATACTAAAGGAACTTCATAGATAAGGTAATTTGGGGAGCAAGAAGTGAAATTTGTGATGTACATGACTTACATCAGAGCAAAATAAAATTTTTTTAAAATTATTGTTCTAGATGTATAAAATGGCTTGTGGCTATCATCAAAATAAGTCCCAACAGGGCCGGCCCGGTGGCGCACTGTAGCAGTGCGCCACTTGGGAGCGCGGCAGCGCTCCCGCCGAGGGTTCGGATCCCACGTACAGACCGGTTCCCACTCACTGGCTGAGCAAGGTGCGGGCGCAACACCGAGGGTTGCGATCCCGTTGCCAGTCCCGGTCCGGTACGGGCCCGACACTGAGGGTTGTGATCCGTTGCCGGACACGAAAAAAAAAGATAAAAAAAAGGAAAAAAAGAAAAAAAAAAGAAGTCCCAACAAAAGAAAGAATTTGATTGCTTTAGAATTATAGTAAATAGGAGGAAAATGATGTAGACAGTAAGAAGGTAGCTGAAAACAGGAAAGAATTTTAAATCTTTGTTATCCAATAGAAAACTCACAAGATTAGCATCACTTCAGAATGGACAGTCATGTTGGCTGGCCTTTACATTTTACTGGATAGCTGTAAGCTTAAGAGGACAGTACAGGGTTCAATAATGGGTAGCTTTCTAAACCACGAATGTGGTTGTGGTTTTGTTTGTGGTTTTGTTTTTGGTTTTATCAGTGAAAGTAAAAAGAGACTGATTTTTAAAAACATGTGAAGAAAGAATGCTTGGCAAGAATTAATGTATGATACAGACAACTAAGGTAAGTCAAAGATGGTTATAAAATTTCATATGTATGAAATAGGGTGAGTGAAATTGAAAATATCTTGCAAAAGATGTTTTCTAAGTAAACTACAGTGCCTATGTTTAGACTTAGAATTCTCTGGCTCATAATTTTGGTTTAAGAATATGGGCTAAAATTGCAAACCTTTATATTTAGTTTTAATTTTTTATTTCTTTGTTTAATTAATTAATTAATTTTTTAGTGCAAGTGTAGTTTTACTAAGGAATGTGGGTACTAAATAATGTTTCTTCTTTGCTTTAGGTAAAACTTTAGTCAAGAAGTTGACAAAAAAGGTAAGCAGTATGTGGGGATTTGTTTGTTTTTTGTAAGATACAAAATGAACTTTTATGAGTTAAATTGAAAGATCTTCATATGTATATTCAAAGGATATCGAGGATGCACTGGCAGGAATCCGGAGAGCTGGTTGTGGATCAACCTTTTTTAGAGACCTTGGTGATAAAGGTAATTTTGATTTGTTGTTAAATTTCTAGGTATGTGTTTTATTTAACTGAAGTACTATTAAGGAATTAAGGTATGAGATTTGTACCATGTTATTTAATAGGTGTTTTTAAAACATAATAAAATACTCATTAAGTAGGAAGTAGCTTTCTTCTACTCCCAGAGCAATTACAGATAAATTATTAAAACATCGATGTTAATTAAAGCCTGGGGTGGGAATGAGGCAGAGTATCTGACGTAAAAAGATGAGGAGGCCTCAGAGGATACAGAGGAGCACCTACATTTAAAGGCACAGCCTGGAAGAAGTGCCCGTGAAGGAGACCACAGTGCTTGACTCTTCACACTTCAGCTTTCTCCTCTGGTGACAGAAGCATGGCACACTGGTTGGCACATGGTAAAAAGGCAATAACAGTAGTTATGATCATGAGTAGAGTTGTAAACAGTAAAAAAAAGTGAGAGACTATGGCAGAGTAATCAGAGAAGGATGTTATCACAGGATGTTATCACAGAAGCTGAGAGAAGATGGTGTTAAAGAGGGAGTTATCAAATATGTAAAAATAAGTAAGGGGGCTGGGAAAGCTAAGGACTGAGAACTGTCCGTTATATTTAGCAGAGGGAAATGTTTGACACTGTGCCAAGTACAGATCCATAATGGGATAGGATCTGAAGCCAAGTTGCAGAAAGTTGAGAAGTGAGTGGAGACATGAGAAACTTGTAGTCCACTTGAGAGACCTGGCATGAGCAGAGGATAGTAGCTGGGCTGGAGACAAGGCCAAGGTAATATTTGAGCATATTTCTTGCTGATGAGAAGGAGAGGTAGAAAATATGAGAAAGGAAATATGAATAAGACAAAATCCTGGAAAATGTGAGAGAAGGGACTGTCTTTAGAGCACAGTGGAAGGATCAGCATTCCACAGGGAGGATAGCTTTTCCATTGTGTCAGGAGGAAAGGATGAATAGATGAGTATTTTATTACAGATATTTGCAAATTAGTGGCAAGAACGTGAGGCAGGTGTTTGAGGTAGCCTTGATTTTCTTTATGAAGTAGGAGGTAGTAGGGATGAACTTTAAGGAGAGAGAAGTTTATAGTAGCTTCTGTGATAAGGAAAGAGAACACAGAAGGATTTCTGGGAAGCATTCAGGGACCAGAAGAGACTGTAGGTCATGAAAGAATAGAGTCATCAGTCGGTACAATTGTGCGATGATTCTCCTGCAGACTACCTGTAGGAATATAAATGTTGGACAGTTGTATTAGAGTTAGGATTTTGCTAGGCAAATGAACATAAGAAAAGTCATTGGCAGGGAGTTAAGAATGTTAAGGGCAAGAGAGGTTTTAACTAATGAGCCATGGAGTCTAAGCAGGATAATAGAGAAGAAAGTAAAACAGGAAAAGAGATGAGAAGAAGAAAGTAGAAAGGTTAAGAAAGAAAGCTGTGAGTGGGATTGAAAAACAGATGTAGTGGGAGTCCAAGAGCAGAAAAGAACTGTGGTCAGAGAGTAGGTGTCTGAATTTACACCTACTGAGCTGAAGCAGTTGCAGGTGATTTCAGGTTTCAGGGAATGATCATAGAAGTAGATTCTGAATCTAGAAGTAGGTTAATTTAGTGAAAGTTATCAAAGATCTGAGACAGGGTATTGTCATATATATGTAAATCACCTAAAATGAATACTTTGAGTAGAGAGAAAGACAGTGAACCAGGTGCTGAAGTCTTCAGTAAATGAAAGATAAAGAGAGGGAAGTTTGGTACCACTAAGAAGATAAACAGAAGGTAGTGTAGCTAGGTGGCATTAGCCTCAAAGGAGCAGTGGTTTTTACAAAAGGTTCAGAAAGTTCTAGAATTAGCATTGGAGTAGAAGAAATAAGTCACCTCCATTTGGGAAGTCTGCAGGGGTACCAGTATCCTTGCTGGAGAACCAGATTTCAGATGAGGCAAGATTAAGCATACAGTGAATAGGTTAAAGATGTTTACTGTGGAATGGTAATTTCAGAGAGATAGTGGACAGGCGTGGGTAAAAGTGGAGGAGCGGGAGATTGGTTGTCAGGAGAGACAAAACATAGACCAGCATGTGGACATATAACCAAATAGACACTATCTGGAGAAGGAAGGAGTGACTGCTGAGGACGGTTGGACGTAAGCCTGAGAGGTAAGCAGAGCCAAATCATATATTGCTTTATAGGACATATTAAGAGTTTATACGTCATCCTGAGAACATGGGTTGCCATTGAAGAGCTGTAAGTAAGAAAATGACAAATCAAATAAAATGCCTAGGAATAAATCTAACTGAGGAGGTGAAAGATCTCTACAATGAAAACTGCAAAACACTGATGAAGGAAATTAAAGAGGACACAAAAAAATGGAAAGACCCTCCATGCTCATGGATTGGTAGAATTAATGTTCTGACAATGACCATCCTACCCAAAGTGATCTGTTACAGATTCAACGTAATCCCTATCAAAATACCAATGACATTCATCACAGAAGTAGAAGAAGCAATCCTAACATTCATATGGAACAACAGAAGACCTCAAATAGCCAAAGCAATTCTGAGCAAAAAGAGTAAAGCAAGAAGCATTATACTACCTGCCTTCAAAATATACTACTAAGCAATAGTAATCAAAACAGCATGGTACTGGCATAAAAACAGACGCACCAATGGAACAGAATGGAAAACCTAGAAATAAACCATGTACTTAAAGCCAACTGATCTTTTACAAAGGTGCTAAAAAGTTAAATTGGGGAAAGGACATCCTCGTTAATAAATGGTCCTGGGAAAACTGGACATTCATGTGTAGAAGAATGAAACTAGATCCCTATCTCTCACCATGTACAAAGATCAACTCAAAATGGATAAAAAACTTAAATGTGAGACCTGCAACTATAAAACTTCTAGAAGAGAACATAGAGGAAATGCTCCAAGAAATAGGACTAGGCAAAGATTTTATGAGTAAGACCTCAAAAAACACAGGCAACAAAAGCAAAAATAAACAAATGGAATTTTATCAAACTGAAGAGCTTCTGCACAGCAAGGTAACAATCATCAGAGTGAAGAGACAACATTTGCAAACTACACATCTGACAAGGGAGGAACTCAATAGAGAAAAAAATACATAACCCAATTAAAAAATGGGCAAGGGAGCTGAATAGACATTTCTCAAAAGAAGATATACAAATGGCCAACAGATGTATGAAAAATGCTCAGCATCACTAATCATCAGGGAAATGCAAATCAAAACCACATTGAGATATCATCTCACCCCAGTTAGACTAGCTGTTATCAAAAAGACAGAAAATAACAAATGCTGGCCAGGTCTCAGAGAAAGGGAAACCCTCCTACACTATTGGTGGGACTGTAAATTAATGCAGCCATATAGAAAACAGGAAGGAGTTTCCTCAAACAACTACCGATAGAACTGCCATATGATCCAGCAGTACATAAATCTAACTGAGGAGGTGAAAGATCTCTACAATGAAAACTGCAAAACACTGATGAAGGAAATTAAAGAGGACACAAAAAAATGGAAAGACCCTCCATGCTCATGGATTGGTAGAATTAATGTTCTGACAATGACCATCCTACCCAAAGTGATCTGTTACAGATTCAACGTAATCCCTATCAAAATACCAATGACATTCATCACAGAAGTAGAAGAAGCAATCCTAACATTCATATGGAACAACAGAAGACCTCAAATAGCCAAAGCAATTCTGAGCAAAAAGAGTAAAGCAAGAAGCATTATACTACCTGCCTTCAAAATATACTACTAAGCAATAGTAATCAAAACAGCATGGTACTGGCATAAAAACAGACGCACCAATGGAACAGAATGGAAAACCTAGAAATAAACCATGTACTTAAAGCCAACTGATCTTTTACAAAGGTGCTAAAAAGTTAAATTGGGGAAAGGACATAATACTGGAGGGGTGGGGTAAAAGGCTTGTTAATGGAGATAAAATTGCAGCTAGATGGGAAAAATAACTCTTATTGGTGTACAGTCGACCTCAGAATCTATAATTAACAGTGTTTTACTGCATGTTACCAAACAACTAGAAGAGAGATCAAATGTGCACCTCTTTGTAGAAATGATTGAGTTTTGCAATGATGAATATGCTGATGGCCTTAAATGGATGATCACACATTGTATACACGTATTGAGATATAACTCTGTACCCCATAAATATGTACAATCAATGTTTCAGTAAAAAAAATTTTTTTTAAGTGACAAATCAGATTAGAAAATCACTCTGGTGGCTGTGTGGTGAATGAATAGAAGAGGGGGCAGAAGAGGAGACAACTAGGAGGCTTTTGCAATAACAGCAGGAGATCGTGTGCTGGAGAAGAGGTGGTGGAAATGGAGAGAAGAGTACAAATGGGATCAATACTTTGGTGACAGAATTGATAGGACTTGGTGACTGGTTGCATGTGAGAGGGGAGGAAGAAAAAGGAATCAAATTTGATGCCCAGGTTTCTGGTTTGGGCAGTGTGGTGAGTGAGTGCACCATTCCCCAAGATACATGGAGCGTAGTATTTAGATCAAAGCTGTGGCCTCTGATTTATACTTTTATGAATGCATTTTGAGATTTTAAGAAAGATATTTAGCAGTTGTGAAAGCGTGAGTAATCTTTGGGGATAAACTCAGTCATTTTATGATTCTTTGACTTTTTTTCTGAAGTAAGGGAAGGGCGGGGAGAGTTCTGAAATCATTTTGACTTGATGGCAGAATACTAGAATGAGAGTAAGTTACTTCAGTTTTTGTGTAAAACACTATATAAATAAAATGTGATTTTTAAAATTCTATTAAAATTTATTTTCAAGGAAAATTCATAAAATAAAAACTGAAAAGAGAAAGTTTAAACTATTTTAAGAAAAAAAAATATTTCAGTGATACGAGACTAATCTGTAGTACTGACAAGAGAGACCCATTTCAAGGACCTTAGAATCATCCTTTACTTCTGAAAAGAAGTACCTATATAGCCTTGTTACTACATTAACCTTCCAAACTG